TCCTGCACGCCCCAACACTGGGAATGGAGCCCGCAACCCGGGCACGTGCCCTGACCAGGAATCAAACCGTGACCTCCTGGGTCATAGGATGATGCTCAACCACGGAGCCACCGTGGCCGAAATGCTGGAGCTCTTTATGGAGGGTTTATTGTATTTCCTCTGGGAAGTCGAGACGGTCTTGCAAATGCATTCTGAACGCTGACCCTGCACCGACTACTTTGGAAGACATTCGTTTCGTGGACTCTTGTCTGGCCCCTGACCCTTTCTGAGTCTTACATGTCGTCCTCCAACCATTTTCCCAAATGATGCTCCTTGTTCACACATTAGCCAGAGCGAAACACCTGTACCGTGGCTCAGGGACCGCAGATGGAGGAGGGTGTGTCTGGGAGGAAGGGCTGTAACAGTCTCCCTATCCCTGCAAGGACACAATGAAGCAAGCGGATCCCTGCAAGGACGAGGCTCCTGTGCGTCGGGAACTGCTCCCGGGAGCCCGCACCCTCATCAGCGAGCCGGGCCCCGTGGCCGAGCCCCCGCATGAGGACACCAGGGAAGGGCTTCATTTGGGCTTCACCCCACCTTCCCAGCTGACCTTGAGCCGGTCTGGAAACTTTGTGTCCTGTTTTATTGTCTTAGACTAAGTAGGTTGAGAGGAGAGCTCGCAGCGTCCGCGGCCAGAGGGACCTCAGGAACCATCTTCTCAGCCAGCTCTCCTCGGGGTGAAAACGACTTCTGGCCGTTCTCTGTGAGGTGATGCTCCTTCCCTCCCCGCTTTGTGCTATTTAAATGCTACGGAGGCATGGAGTTCGATTAGGCCAAGGATCTCAAGCTGCGCCAGGGGTTGGGTAGGTGAGGTCACTGAGCCTAACACAGGCCTGGTAAGAAGCTGGAGGGTGCATGCACTCCCAACCCCCCGGAAATGTGCAACTGCACAAGCCGAGCAAAACTGCCTGCTTTCTGAGGCTTTTTATAGCCTGTGGCCGGTTTGCAACGTCTGAATCACAGAAGAAAGTAATAATAATATCACCCACGATGCTTATTAGCTAGTGGGAGTGTTTGACAACTAGATGATGAGCTAGACATTTGGGGATGTTATTGGCACAGGGTCCGTGTGTGAAAACCTACCCTTAGCCCAGTCTGCTACGCACCGTGCATCTCTGCTCTGAAGAAAACATAGCGCTTGTTAAAGGCGCATCCCATTTACAAAAATCGATCCTCATTCCTTTTCTTGGAAGACCTACTTTCAGAGGCAGCACCTGAGAGATCCCCCGGGTGATGAGAGGTGGCCCAGTTCGCTGGCGGAGGAGCCGCATAAATCCCGGACTCAGCATTTCCTAATCTGAGCACTTGACATTTCTCTGCTGGTCCTCCCGGTTCCCACAGGAACATTGGATTGTCCTTCCCCTGGTTTTATTTTCTCCCCCTTTTCTTCTTGTATTTGTTATTATTTTTATTCATTGCCAGGGTCTCAGGCATTCTCTGGTGCGTGTGGGTGGTGTAAAGGCACTAATGCACGTCACATGGCCATCCCAAAGAACCCCCGGTGGTCATCGGATGAGCGGGCTGTCCAAGAAGTAGCAGAAGCACAGATCGGCCCGCAGGGAGCAGGTCAGCTCTCGAAGGCGATGCCCATCCCCCCCAATGGCTGAGCTGCACATGTCAGAGTCAAGATCCGGGTGCGGCTCATCTGTTTGCCAAGGAGCTCGGCAGCACGGGGATACCATTTCTTAATTTTAAAAGAAACGCGTGAACTTGATCTTTGCAGCTTGTTCTAGGACCTCGCAGGCAAGGCTAGTACTTGCACACGGACTGTCTCAGCTCATTGCCGACCTCATTTTCCCTGCCATATTGTGAAAAGTCACTCACCAGATACAGTTTGAAGAATTCTTATACCTGGTATCTGTCAAATCCCTTTAACCCTGAGAGTCTGTGACAGGCAAAGGACGCAGGACCAGGGAAAAAGGATTGTTTTCTGTTTAACTCGCTTGTAGGACCGAGAAAGTTCCTTGTTTTTCTTTATAAGAAATGAACTGTTTGCATAGTCAGAGCCGTCAAGTAGCAATTTAGCATCGTCAAGTTGGGAGTGGACAGGTGGCTGAGCGGATGGGAGGCTGAGCAGACGAACAGCTAAGTGGATGGGTGGGTAAGCGGTCGGAAGGCTAAGTGGATGGGAGGCTGAGCGGATGGGAGGCTGAGTGGACGGGAGGCTGAGTGGACGGACGGCTGAGCGGACACAACAGGAAGCGACACCTGGGCTGCTTTATGCTCCTTTTTAGCACCAGCAAGTGCAGTGACATGAAAACTGCCACGGAACCCATTCATTTTAGTCTTTTTACAAATTATTTTAATTCTCTCCTCATAATATGCCCATATGAAATAATTGCTCTGTAATTACCACCATGATTGCATGTTAAATAAACGTGAACTCCTCCGTGTGGCGGCCTCACTCTGCCTCCCCAGCTCTGTCTCTTCACACCCTTTTCAGCCCTTCCCAGGGCACTGCTCGGCGTTCTCACGGCGGACGGAGACTCGCCAGGCCGTGCCAGTACACGCTGCGCAGGAGCCGCTGCCAGCGGTCTGGGTGACGTGTCCAGAACTGCAGACAGGCCGCTGGAGAGGCAGACTCATCGGGGTTGGCACGGACAGGGCAGGTGCGCTGCGGACACCAACACCGTCGAGCTCGGGATGCCAGCCACGTCCAGCAACCCCAGGAGCCTCTGCCAGACCGGCTTGTGCGCCCAGGCCAGTTCAGGTTCAGTGTCACAGTGAACATGACTCTCATCAAGGAAATGGCAAAGGCTTTCACTTCTTCAGGATATTTATTGCAGTTTTCTTTACTCAAGGAGAATTCTGTACCATTGTGATCACATACATGTATATATATATTGTATATATGTACATATATTTAAATATGTTTATTGATTTCAGAGAGGAAGAGAGAGGGAGAGAGAGATGGAAACATCAATGATGAGAGAGAACCATCGATCGGCTGCCTCCTGCCTACTGGGCCTTGAGCCCGCAACCCAGGCATGTGCCCTGACTGGGAATCCAACTGTGACCTCCTGGTTCATAGGTTGAAGCTCAACCACTGAGCCACACCTGCAGTGTTGGTTATATATTTTTTTAATCTGCTGGTAATTTTTATTAACTACCTGACATTTTAACAGAATTCTTATTTAAAAAAATTGAACATCCAATGTTCTTAAGGTGGGAGCCTGTACTTTTTTTTTCCCCTTTATTGATTTTTAGAGAGAGGAAGGGAGAGGAATAAAGAGATAGAGACATCACCCGGCATGTGCCCTGACCAGGAATCGAACCCGTGGCCTCTTGGTTCTTGGGTTGATGCGCAATCTCCAAGCCACACCAGCCGGGCGGGAGCCTGTCTGTTTTAGCTCAGATCCACTGACACACCTCTAGAGTCTGACTCCTTAGCATTTACAGTTAGAAGACGAAGCGTTTAAACCGGAGCCTGGGAAAATGCCAAGCACACAGCCCCTCCCTCGGAGATGGACATATGGGAAGGTACCAACATTTAGCATCAAGCTCTGCTCCTCGCGGTTAGAGACAGCGGCGCGGGGGTGCATGGCTGTGTCTGCCCTTCGACTCGACAGACCCCAGGCACCCTGTGCTTCCACGGAACGCCATCCCTTGGGAAGAAGCAAAATGAAGCCATCTGTCCCTGAGCTCTTAAAATCAACTTGGCTTCGAGCTCCTGTGCTAAATGGTTTTTATACGACTATTTGCTCTAATACGGATCTAAAGAACTTGGTTTTCTTCATCATTGAGAAGTGTGCCCGCCAGCGCAACCTTCCCTCCGCAGGGCGGGGGCCAGGGGCCTCCCAGGAAGTGTCACCTTGTCCCAAGGACAGGGCGGGGCAGGACGCAGTGCTAAGGGGGCCCAGCGCAGAAGTGCCCCCTGCTCTCACGCTCCGTGGGGGCTGAGGCCACTGCTCCGTCTTACAAGTGGCTCAGAGCTGAAAGGACCAGTGGCGACCCCCACAGCTGCTGGGGAAATGCCGAGAGGGACCCACATTTGCAGCACTGGAGGGCGGGGCCCTGGTGTGATGCCACCTCCTTACCCGCATCCCCCGGGTGGAGACGGAGTGCCCGCAGCCTCCGGGCACACACACACGAATACGACCTTGTGATGAAGCAACAAGGTCGCTTGGTACTGAAGGTCAGGCTCGGGGAACCGGTGCATGTAATTTCTGGGAAGCTGAGGGTCTCCTAGGAAGTGGTAGTTCCAATCTTTCAATCTTTAATACCCACCTCTTGCCTTTGATAGGGGTTGTTGTTGTTGTTATTTTCTTAAATATGTTTTTATTGATGTCAGAGAGGAAGGGAGAGGGAGCGAGAGAGAGAAACATCAATGATGAGGATCATTGATTGGCTGCCTCCTGCACGCCCCACACTGAGGATCGAGCTTAAAACCAGGGCATGTGACCTTGACAGGGAATCAAATCTGGGACCTTTCAGTCTGCAGGCTGATGCTCTATCCACTGAGCCAAACCAGCTAGGGTATTATTATTATTATTAAGACATATTCCTTCCCTGCCCTGATAAGGAACTCATACTGGCCCCCAATCTCAAGTCTTTGTTACTATTTTCTTCCAATTTTCCCTTTTCCTCCTAAAAGTGGCCCCCTGAGGGGGAAAACATTCTAGTGAATTAGGATTTCTGGTAATCAGGTTTTTAAATTGTTTTGGCGAATTGAAATCGGTTCACGCCACCTCCTTGAGTTGGAAATAGCTCATTACGAAGTCTCTTCGGTGCCAAGGCGTTGCCCTGTGAGGATGCACTAAGACCCTTGGTCCAGCAGTCAAAGGGCTCGGATTGAGGACGCCGTCAACCAGGGCGCGGGAGGGGACGGTCCTTCGTCACACCATCCAGGCCTCCCTGTCACCAACGGGGCCAAGGGCCCGCGGGGAACCTCCCAGGGCCCGCACGCATCAGAAATCCTGGCGCTTTCCTTCATCTCGTCTCCATCCCCAGCCGTTATGAAATTAAGAGCAACAAGAATAACTTTAATGGAACACCCCTGTCGTCACCCATAACCGTGACATCAGGAAATAGCCCGATGCCGGTGCACGCTCGCCTTTATTCCCGGACGTCCCAGCTTCCCCATGGCCGCCGTGGTGACTTTCTGAACTTGACATACTGGGCTCATCTGTTTCATAAAGTGAAATGGAAGGCATCGCTTAGCAGGGCTGCGTAAAAAGACCCTTCCTTAATAAGATACGTTTCGGAATAAATCGTGGGCCGTCTTCTCTCTCCAGAACGAACACCCACCTTGAACGTTTTCTCTGTTCAGATGCTTATAACCGAGAGCAGTCGATGCTTCCAGTCACGTGTGGATGAGGATCCTGAGGACGCAATCTGGAAATAGGACCAGCGGGTGAGAATCATTTTCTTGGGAAATGAAGCAACTTGAAGCAGGAAGCTTTGGCGATGTGGCTGGAGACACAGGCAGGTAGCTGATTTTTGCTTCAGGGCTTCTAAGCCTCAAACATCTAATTGGCGAGAAGCCCTGGGTTCGGAAATATTACCACCAACGTGTGGCTGGTCATTCAAAACCGTTCCAAATGCCCACAGGAGCAACGGGAAAGAGTTGGAATCCTTTGCAGAGCGGCAGTTCTGGGTCCGGCCCTGGCAGAGGGTGGGGGTGGACAGGGTTGGGAGGGGTCACTGGCCAACGGTGTGCTTTTCTTCCCAATTCCAAGTTCTGAGACATTTTAGGCGCATGGAGGTGTCATGGCGGGTGTGTTTACACCACAGGCATTGGCAGGCACTGCACGTCAGGGCTCGTGTGGCGCCGGCCGCTGACCACTCCCCGGCAGGCCGCCCGTGGGAAAGCACCGGAGCACACAGTGGGAACAGGTGCGAGAAGTAGGGACTCGCTCCCCTTGGATGAGATTCAGGTTCTGCCAACATAGGGGCGAAGTCAGGACAGGAGGTCAGACAGTGCCTCGATACGGGCCCTTACTGCCTTGCTAAGGAGTTTCCCCAACTTCTTACACGTGGCCGATACCCAGCAGGAAGCGGATGGTACACTAGTACATAGTCAAAAGGGAGGAATAAAGAAAGTCTTCAAAAGGGACCATTTACAAGGCCCGGGCAAGGCTAAGGCAAACTCCCAAGGGATGGACAAGCACCGCTGTTATCTGCGCGTCCTGCTGAGAAATGCTGGTAGGCGAGCTCTCCTCCGTCCCCTGCGATCACCACGTGGTGAGTGTGAGAACGTAGTCATGTGTCGATACAAAGAAGGAGCTGGAACAGAGGACGGGGGCGGCACGCCGACTCAGAGCCGAGATCCCGTGTGATGCACCGTGATGACTGCGATCAGGCCGTCTGCCCACGGAGGACAATTCGCTGTCAACCAGGTTTCACAGTCATTAGCGCCCTAATGCGATCACTCTCCGTCTGCGTCTCCTAGAGGGTCTGGCTCGCTCACCACCACCAGTCACCCCTCGCGTGCCGACACCAGCCAGATGTGGCCAGATGTGGCCGGGTGCGAGCGCCACAGCGGGGACGGTGAATAGGAGCGACACCACATGCGAGGCACCTGCGGGCCACGCGGGAGGGAAGCTCTGAGATGGCCCCAGGCCGGTGTTCATACCGTGGACACCTGTCACCTGTGGGCAAATGGGGGTGCCGTCAGCCAGCCTGTGTCTTCATTGGGGGCGGGGAGGAGGTTCATCTCCAACCAAAGGAAAACGTATGACAGGGCTGGGGGAGGGGAGACAACGAAAAGCAGAAAATAAAAGGTGAAGTAGCCCTGGCCCGTGTGGCTCAGCGGATAGAGCGTCAGCTTGAGGACTGGAAGGTCGGGGTCCGAGACCTGGCCAAGGGCACCTACCTGGGTGGCAGGTTCCATCCCCGGCACCCGGCTGGGGTGCGTGTGGGAGGCAACCAGTCGATGTCTCTCTCTCATCAGTGTTTCTCTCTCTCCCTCCGCCCCTCCCTTCCACTCTCTGAAAATCAATGGAAAAAATATCCTCGGGTGAGGATTAACAACAAAAAAAAATTTTTTTAAAAAGAAAGTGAAATTCAAACCCAGGCCTGCATGGTCCAAAACTGTGTTTCCTGTTCCGTTGGGCATTTCCACCAACCATCACTTCATTCTCCTCCCTCTCTCCCCATCCTCTCTGCCCTAGGAGTCTGGTAGCTCCCCTGGGCCAGAAGTACCACCACCCACATTCCTCACCCCCCACAGCCCCTCCTAACAGCCCTGCTGGTCTCCATGCCTCTAATGAGTACTTTCTGATTAATCACACTTCCGTGGCATTCACCTCATAAAGGCATCCCCAGATGAGCTCGACTCCCTGCATCGGCCTCTGAATAAGGCAGCGGTGTCTCTGCGTCTAATGCAGGTTACGACCTGCTCGTGTCTGCCGAGCGCTGTAGGAAATACCCGAGAAAGTGGCGCAGAAGCAGCAGGAGGCGCCTGGGAGACGCAAGACGTGGAAACCCCTCTGGGCTCCACGCCGCTGGTACTTGCTACGGACGTGTCCCATGTGCGAGGCCCTTCCGGGGCCCGGGCTGAGCGTCGCAGTCTCCCCAGGAACTGGCGGTGGTGCTGAATGACCGCGATGGGAATAAGCAGCCCTGAGCTGGGAACACAGGCCGAGGACAGGCGGGAAGTGAAGGTCAGCGAGGCCCTGGCCTTGCGCACAGAGCAGTGGCGAGATGCTGGGCGGATTCCTATCTCTCGTTTCTCCTCATCCTCAAAGTGGGGATAATCCTTACCTGCCGGAGTCTATGTGCGCCTTAGTGGTTGAGCATCGATCGATTGACCTGTGAACCAGGAGGTCGTGGTTCAATTCCCAGTGTACAGCCTGGGCTATGAGCTCGATCCCCAGTAGGGGGCGTGCAGGAGGCAGCCGATCCATGATTCTCATCATTGATGTTTCTCTCTCTCTCCCCCTCCCTTCCTCTCTCTCTAAAAAATCAATGAGAGCATATTAAGAAATTCCGATTCCACAGGGAAATGCCGCTTGTACTCATCCCTACGGTTTGCCGAGCAGCCGCTGCGGTTTGGAACTGTGCAGAGGGTTGTACGCGGGACCTCACAGGAGCCCTGTGACTCTGCCAGGCGGGTTCCAGGTTATTTCCCCATTTTACCGAGGGGGATGCTCAGGCTCACTCCCTCCCTCCAGGCCAAAGCCAGACGGTTTGGGAACTAATTCTTCCCGACTGAGTCCTGCCTGGTTCCCCACCCCTTGCTCTGGGCCTCCGTCCTGTGACCCGGGCCGCTGTCTGTGACCTGGGGCCGGGCTCACACTGGCTGGCGCCTCACCTGCCCGTCAGGATCCCCTTAAAGCAAAAGTCTTTGGAAGCGAATCTCAGGTGTTTGTAGTGTGGCCATGGCTCCGAGCTCGTGTAAAGCCATTCCATACACGTCGTAAGAGTCAGCAGCTTTCTTCATGATCAGTCACTCTACTTGTCTTTTTAATTTTTAAGAAAACACCTAAATTTAGGCAATGGTGGTATAATGTGCAGTGTGGTGGCGATGGAGAATGGCACCTTTAAGTGTGCAGTTTTCACCCATTTAAACGTATTTACCTTATATACAGTTTTAAAAACACTGTTAATAATTCCAATACAATTTCAATGGATAATTCAGGGACAGCTGGTTAAGTGAAAACTCCAAGCTATATTTCAAGATTGAAAGTAACAGAAAAGGCAAGTCCATCATGCTTGATTTTCCGTAGCCTCACGTTAATAACGAATTATAGACGTTTTAGAGCCGGATGGGCCGTGAGAGCCAGTCTGGGCCAATCCTTTGGTTTTATGGCTGCAATTACGGGGAAGAAACCTAGCCTGGGCTCTAATGGTGCAGGTGCAGCGTCAGAAAGACCCGCATTCACTTCCCTGCTTCGCCGCTGACCAGCCCCGAGGCACCATCTGCCCCGTCTCAGAGCCGGTTCCTCGGGGTGCCCGGCCCAGAGCGGGCCTGCCGGTCCCTGAGAGGTGAATAAACCACCCTCTCCTCTCAGACAGTCATTCACTCGACAGATGCTCAGAGTACACGCACCAGCTGTGTGACACCGGGCTCCTGACCGCATGGCTTCCTGCCTTGGTTTGCTGAGCTGTAAAATGGGTATGAAAGTCATGGGAGGATCCGAGGAGTTAAGGTGTGTGAGTGTGTGGGATGTCCCGGCAGCTGGAAGGGGACAAGGATGCTGGACTTCATTCTCCTTCTGTGACTGCGCCCTGTGTCAGGGAACATGGTGGCCGGGGACGGGACCTGGGAGCCCTGGCAGGGTTTTCTCATCTACAAAAGCACCTCATTTGCAAGGAGCGCCTCTCTCATCCCTGCTCATCCTGAGGGTGAAGCCACTGGGAAATCCCCACGTGGCGTGGGTTCTGCCAGGGCTGCCCCTGGTGCCCGGGGAACGTTCCGCCAGCACCTGCCCTTGTACTTGGTGTTTTTCTCTGTGAAGGACCCACGGGTCTCACCTGGCCTCCCAGGGTGTATGAGCATGTGGTGAGGTCGGCTGGGATCCAGGGACAGGCTGTCCCCGTAGGACACAGCGAAGCTAATGCATGGGTCCTTTGGGGTTAAACCTCCTTTCGTCCTCACTGGCAGGACATCACCAAGGGGAGGAAGAGCGGAGGGACCCCGCTAGCGGCCCCACCCGTGGTTCTGTGCTGGGCGCCGAGTCCACGGAGGCTCCGTCTGTGTCCTGGGCCTCGCAGGACGAGGCTGCCGGCCTGTGGGACTGACCCTCTGCGTCGCCCGCTCCCGTCTTTTCCAGGGGGAGGGTTCCGGGCATGGAAGCAGTGACGCCACCTCCCTGCTACTTTCTCTCCTGTCTCCCAGTGCGGTGATGGCTCGCCTCCTGGGGCACAGGCACAGGCGCTGCCGTTTCTCCTGTGTGACTCCCGGGGACTGTGATCATGGCCCCACACTGGGCGGCTGTGGCGGGGGAGCAGCTCTATGTATTTTCATTGATTTCAGAGAGGAAGGGAGAGGGAGAGGAAGGGAGAAACATCCATGATGAGAGAGAATCATGGATCGGCTGCCTCCTGCGCGTCCCACACTGGGGACGGAGCCCGCAACCCAGGCATGTGCCCTGACCGGGAGTCGAACCGTGACCTCCTGGTTCCTAGGTCGATGCTCAGCCACTGAGCCACAGAGGCCGGGCAGAGGAGCAGGTATCCTGAGACGCGTATTTGAGGGACGCCCTCCTGGCTAGGTGGGCGCTGTTGGAAAGGCCTCCCTTGCGTGTCTTTGTCAGTTGAAGGCTGGGACTGCCCTTTCCTGGGAGCCACTGGGGGGGGGGGCGGTGTGTGGCTCCAGAAAACAACCGGTTCATCCCCCCCAAAACTTTAAGTAGTTGTCCTCCGCTCCCAGGCCCCCCAAATATCTGCCACAAAAACCTTTCCCAGAGAAGGATGCCGCGTCACATGGAGAGTGCTCATGTAACCATGGCAACCAAAAAATGCCACCGATGTGCTTGTTTCATACACAAATGAGGGACAGCTGTGGAGCCCACATGTCTGCCAGGGTCACAATAGACCGCCAGGACGCGGGGTCAGAGAATCACCTCGTTTATCTTAATCAGCGTTTGCCAGCAGCGCCGACCCCAGCTGTTAGGAGCGTCCATGGAGGCGCTGAGCCCGGGAGAGCAGCTTCCAGGCCTAGGAGTTCAGAGCCCAGTGTCCTTGGGAAGTGCGGCGGCCAAGGCCTGGAGGGGCTCGGGGGTGGGGGTCGGAGGGGGGCTGGGCCTCGGGACGCATCCCTGCAAGTCCAAGCCGAGCTCCTCTGCCTCTCGGGGCTGAGGCTCCGTGGCTTAAGTGCAACGGTTCCGTCCCAGTTAAATGCATAGCCTCGTGTGGCACTGGGGGCGCGGCGCCCACAGACCTTTCAGCGACCTCGCTGACCACGGAACAAGTTCTTCCCCCCCCTGCACCGCCCCCTCCCCGCCCGTCACGTTAGCAATGAGGACACGGAGGCGCAGGGACCTGACTCAAGGTCACGGAGCTACGACCGGATAACAGCTCGCTTACCCACCACGTAACCGATACCTCTGCTAATCACCTTTGCTAGACCTGAAAAGATTCAAAAAGCAAAATATATAATATGTAAGCCTGTATAGTGTTTCTTTGAAAAAACACGGTCACATAAAAGGGCACATACTTTAATTATTGAAAATAGAGTTAACGGTGCTAGCGAGCAGCCAGTAAGCCTGGGAGTACGTTCTCTACTATTTTACCAGGTTGTCACTGCAGGGACAGTAACCCTTTCATTATGCACCTGTCTATGCTCTGAGACATACACCCTGTGACCTGCCATCCAGCACGAGGGAGATGTGAGAACCTCTAACAAGCGAACCCCTTTAAGAAGACGCGCGGACGGGCGGCTCCCTCGGCCACTCCAGCGTTGGACTTCACAGCGAGGTTCACCTTTCTCTCCACTCTGCACTGGGAACCAAAACAAAAGGGGAGCCGTGCTTTCCTGCCTCCATCTGCATCATTATAATTTCCTCCCGAGTAAAATATTAATCAAAGCTCCATTCAGGAGGGAAAGACCCTCCCATTGTTCCCAGGAACCAAAATACGATTTTAAAATGGAACATGCTTGATCTCCAGATTGGCTTAACTCCAAATAGAGGCTCCACATCATAATTTGGAAAAACTAAATACAGTATTTGAGCGACCTCGCAGGAGTGCTCAGGGGATCGTTGGAAGAAATACCATTTTGTAGTTTAAAAAGAAAAGATAAAGAATATGACAGGAGTCCAGTAAAGAGTGGCATCCAGGCCCATCATGTGTCATGTTGTATTTATGGCTTAGTTATGGTGAGACAAAAAGTCCGCTGTTCTGGTTACCTGTGGTCATACCCTGCCAGCCATGGAAGCAGCCATATACTCAG